AAACAGAATTGTTCAGAATCGAGAGATTTTTTATTTTTCGGGGTTAGAAATTAAATTTGCGTTGGTCAATCGTCTACATGTTCTGTTCTGTAAATCTACTAATACTGTTTCAAACTTAGGTTCCTCTATCCAAAGAAGAAAACCTCCACAGGTATCCAATTTTCTGCCGACTACAAAAAAAGAGAAGTTCTCAAATCGATTGTATTTTATGTGTGAGAGATATTTTGAACCTCAGAACTTTTTATAGGTGAATCGATTTTGATGGTTCTATTTTTTCTTTGACAGCGGGTGCTTCTTATGTGGTCCCATATACATTTGATCAAGATCTGACCTGATCTGCGTATTTAATTGACTTCGATTACATTGATGGTGGTCTCATTTTATTTATATTGAAGTCGGTTGTACATTTTTTTTTATTTTAGCACTTGTTTGGAACCATTTTGTATAACATACATTGTTTTTATATTTGATGGCCATTAATAGAATAGGATCATTTTTAATTAATATAGATTACATGTATTGAAAGTCATTTTTTACTTTTTCCTCTGGTTCAGAAAAAACCTCTATCCTGTGAAGATCCAGAAAGAAACCACCGGGACATTTTTTTAAAACCACAATTTACAATAAATATTTTATACAATTGTTTTGAAAATATTTAGAAACAGGATGGTAGCGATCACCTCATTCCCAGGGGCTATTATCAAGCATGTACTCTTTAGTACTAAACCAACCCTTATTAAACAATTTTTGCTCAGTAAATATTTTAAAGCTTTTGATAGATAAGGTCTGAATATTTTCTGTGCCTTTGTTGTAAAAGCGTTCTACACATTGCCCCATGAAGGAATTACTGACTTTTGGAGTCGAGTAACTTTATACAGTCGATTAACTGGTATAATTAACTTGTGCTTGTTATTTATATTTACAGGTTACTGTTTTTAATAAAACAAATTTTGTTTTTGTTTATGTATGTTTAACCACCAAATAATGCGCAGATACGAATTGCGCGTAAAAAATTTTCATCATTATATATTCATCATAACTACAACCGTACTGCTTTAACCATGACAACGAGGTACTAAATTAAATTTTAAAACGAGGTATATAGCCGATGTCTATAATCAAGTAATTATGCACGCAACCAGTGTGAACGAGAGAGTGGAAGCTTCGTACACGCGGCTTGCAAGTGCGGGGTTAATCTACAGTAGCAGAGATTATATCCTTGATAGATTTTTTTCATTTTCTCATTTTCTCATGATTATAATTATGTCCTCCATACCAAATTTATATTCAAGACTAGCCATCGGCACAGGACAGGATTATAGTGCCCAATTGTACTACAGGACAGGATTATATGTAGTACTAATTATAATACTAATTGTGCTAACAGAAAAACGATTTTTTATGTCCCGGACCGGGATTCGAACCCCGGGCTATATATATATATATATATATATATATATATATATATATATATATATATATATATATATATACAACACGTAACATAATTAACGCACTTTGAGAAAGTAGTCTGTTCAGAATCGTTTACTAAATCGATTCCTATCATTTTTAATATAGGTAATTTTTTTATTCCAAAAATAATTAAAACTACGTAAATTACAGTCACACTAAATCTTTACAGTCAATTCAAACTGAAATGGACCGTAACTTAAGGCAATAAGACTTGTGTAAGTTTTATTTGTATTATTACTAATTCTGTCATTCAATAAAAATAAAGAAAAATGAACTCTATTTCAAGCACGTTAAAGTCTTTGCGTTCGTTGATTTGTACTGCGACCACAACATTCTTCCGGAATTAGTATAACTAATTTGATAAATAATCAGTGCATAAAAATGTTTAAGTAAAAATTCAGTGTATGTATTATGATTATAACATAATATATTAATTGGGGTGTCTGAGGGTGTGCGTAAAATTAAGTTACATATTGTATATATGTATACATATGTATATATATATATATATATATATATATATATATGTATACATATGAGGATGGTAGACGAGCACACAGATCTCTAGTTGTATTGTTGTAGATGTCTATTGCCGTAAAAAGCTAAAAGCGTCTCCGGTTCCTCACACTCAGCGTACGAAACATAGCATCATTAAGTAGTACGTGGTCCAATTCATATAATCTATCTTGTGTTTATGTGTGCTAGTATTCTATGAGAGCGTAGTCCTTCGCCAGTGGAGCCAACCCATTCGTGCTACAATCACAATATAGCTGCAGCGGCTCTACTACGTATGAATTCCAAAACTTAGGAGGAACATTCAAATTGTACAAATCTCAGTTGTCAATGCCGAGTAATGTAATGGCGGCGTAAGAGGATCCATCGCTTCATATCCTTCGTATTTACTACCGATAAATGGCAGTTTACCATATTCCCTACAACAGGCCTAAAATACACAAACCGGTGTAAGAGGCAGTAGTATCAAAGATTCAAGACTGCCATTGCCACAATTATCAATCCGCGTGCCTGCAAGCGTTCGTCCCTTTAACGAAAAAGCATCATGTCTGACAGTGGACTTGTATAGGCTGATGGATAAGGAAACAGAAACCAATAGAAAACATTCTGTACACCATTCTATTGGTATCGTAACAGATGACCAAGGGAACGAACAAACTGAAAAACGACCTATTACTCTATACTGGGACAGGACACTGGCAAATGATATGCCTATGAAAGATAACTTTTATATAAATAACACTCTCTCCAGGAGACTTTTTTAAAAGTATAGTTGTAAAAGACTTAAAAATTAATATGATTGAAATAAATAAGACGCTCTTACTTAATTCAGTGACTGTAACATACTGACGTACACAGTAAACAATTCATTGACCTCAAGATTGAGTACAATGAATTATGTTGCGACTTAGTTAAAAAGAAAAACAAGCAGTACACATTATATAAATAATGCATAAAATGTATATAAAAAGAGTCGTGGTAGCTCGGGGACTAGTTGTTCGCCTCACTGTAAACTATATACGACTAACTCAGGTTCGACATCCATCGACAAGCTAGTAATATATAAGTCAATGTCGACATCCCTGAAAATGTCATGTACTTCTCAGTTCAGCATCTTCTAAAGATTCTAGCGATCGAGCTAGTCTTTTCGCTTGTCTTTGAGAAGATACTCTTGAAAGGCTTGACTTACGTTTGCGAGGCATTATGAAGTAACTAAAAACCTATTTATAAAAAAACGTTAAAATACCTAAAAGGAATTAATTTTCCTTTTAAATATTTTTTTTAAAAGCAAATCCAAAATATCTAAAAGGAATAAATATTCCTTTTAAATATTTTTTAAAATCAAAACAACAAAACCAATTCAAGTCACAACACGAATCCGAAAACGATAGCCAAAAAAAATCGAATCAACTTAAACCAAATCACAAAACAAATCGCAGAAAACCGAAATGGAAAGCAGTAGTCAATATAAATATAACCAACGAAAAAAGAAGTAAATGTATAGGTACCGTATACACTATCTATACTATTAATATTCCTTTGAAATATTGTTAAACAAGCTAAAACAACGAAAACCAATTCACGATTCTAAATAAACAAAATCCAAAATCAAAGCCAGAGTCTAAATATGTATAAAGGAATACCAACCAAATCAAAAAAACCGATCCAAGAAAATACACAAATCCGAAAATGAAAGCCAATATAAATCCATTCAACCTTAACCAAATCACAAAACAAATAACAAACAACCAAAATCGAAAGCAGGTAGTCGAATAAGCTACGAAATAGAAACAATTTAAGCTAGGTACGTATGCACTTTAAGTTGACGCGCGGCTCAACGGCGGGAGTTAAGTACATGTCAGGAAACATGTCGTTACCGCGTTTTAAAAACCTAGTAACGACATCTAGCGGATTCAATTTAAACTATGTATACGTTAGTTAATAAGAACGCTCAAAAATATTTTTCTTATAATTTTGCACAATTTTTCTTATTGTAATACCGATTCATTCATAACCACATATAAGACTGTATTCATTTCCGTTCAATAAATATTACTAAGGCTTATTAATAAGGCTTACTAAGAACTGTTTCTATCACAGTTAAGTAATAGTTAAGGGTGAAAGCGTGACAGGTGGATATAGTATTTCTGATCCATACTTATAATCACGCCTGTAACCCTTGCGGAGTAGGCAGAGCATCAACGGATTACTTAATATCGTCTGCGAGGTTATCGCCTATTCTGTGAATTACAATGCACCAAAACGTTTGAAGAAAATCAGCTGGTGAATTTTATGTGTTTTATCGCTCTCTTCCCGGTCCTGCGTGGAAAAATACAGATCCATACATTTTTTATCTTAATTTTGGTAAAAAGACATAATAATCCAGATGTTCTGACCTTCTGTGTTCGTCCATCGTATCGTCGTCCGTCTTGTAGAATCACGGTGGCGCCATCTAGCTGAATTTAATTTTGCAACATATTCGATTTTCCCACGGGAATGATATGTTTTTCCGCTGAAAAAGTAGCCTAGGTCACTCTACAGCCGCCGAACTATCTATATATATATATAATATAATAATAAATCCCATACCAAAATTCATGCCATGCCGACGCTCTGTTGCGACGTGAAAGAGGGACAAACTTTTGCAACATATTCTATATTTTCCCACGGGAATGAGGCTGTAGATTGACATAGGCTACTTTTTTCCGCGGAAAAACATCTCATTCCCGTTCCCGTGGGAAATATTCTATTTTGAATTATAAAAAATAACTAATAATAATAAAATATAATAATATATTGAATGCAGGTAACAGAGTCACATAGAAGGTGATTAAGGAAGCGTTGATGAGATTAACATACAATGTCGCTCTATATAAAGGATATATAATGTATTCTCACAGTGTTTGTTTTAACCGTCCGTATCAGTCCAATGCCAGTGCGCGAAACGCTCACCTGTGCATTACCAAAAAAATAAGTTGTGCCATAGATATCAAAGTGATTTTGTTACGTAAAAAATGTGCAAACTACAGATAGAAATGTTATGGACTATTTTAATAATTATAGGTCAGTCTAATAACAAGTTTGATAAGTTAATTTTTATAAAATTATTTGATTTATTATCTATTAATATTAACTGCATATATCTATTCGTAAATAACTGCAATTTAATATGTCGCTTAGTAATTAACAGAAAACTCATAAAGATTTTCCAATACATTTCATAAAAATTTATTAACCTCTTATATGATTAAGTACTATTTATGACGTACAGTAGTATTGCTTTATTTTACAGCCTTAGAAAAATATCGTCTAAAATTATCTTTACTCTCGAATTGTACTGTATTAATGTTTATTGAAGCCCTAACAATAATTACCAGAAATACATTAGCTATATATAGTGCATATATATATATATATATATATATATATGTCTATTTAATGGAATAATGGATCGGCTCGATCGAGATAGCACCACGCTCACAGAATATCGGCGTTTAAATGCAGCTTTATTCTGACGTGTTTTGTATGGTGATAGTAGTGAACCGGAGACCCTTTTTATTGTAAACTAGATATTCCATTTTAGTTCTCAAGGGTGACAACGCATCTGCATTTTAAATCTTAATCGAGGATAGATGTAGATGTCACTGGGCCACGGTAACCACTTACAATCAGGTGGACTGTGTGTAATTACGTCACCCATATTCAGTAAAAAAAAATATTTTTATTTAATTCAAAATTCATTTGTCTATAATAGTCCACTGCTGCCACCTTCCGTTGCATGGAGGTTTGACGATCGCAGTACCAGACATCTCGCTCCTTTGAATGAAAAGTGAATTGATGGAAAATTCATTTTTCAAAATTTTTCATTTAATTCAAAATTAATTTTTCCATAATAGTCCACTGCTGCCACCTTCCGTTGCATGGAGGTTTGACGATCGCAGTACCAGACATCTCGCTCCTTTGAATGAAAAGTGAATTGATGGAAAATTCATTTTTCAAAATTTTTCATTTAAAAAATTAATTTTTCCATAATAGTCCACTGCTGCCACCCTCCGTTGCATAAAGGTTTGACGATCGCAGTACCAGACATCTCGCTCCTTGGAATGAAAAGTGAATTGATGGAAAATTCATTTTTTCAAAATTTTTCATTTAATTCAAAATTAATTTTTCCATAATAGTCCACTGCTGCCACCCTCCATTGCATAAAGGTTTGACGATCGCAGTACCAGACATCTCGCTCCTTTGAATGAAAAGTGAATTGATGGAAAATTCATTTTTCAAAATTTTTCATTTAATTCAAAATTAATTTTTCCATAATAGTCCACTGCTGCCACCCTCCATTGCATAAAGGTTTGACGATCGCAGTACCAGACATCTCGCTCCTTGGAATGAAAAGTGAATTGATGGAAAATTCATTTTTCAAAATTTTTCATTTAATTCAAAATTAATTTTTCCATAATAGTCCACTGCTGCCACCCTCCATTGCATAAAGGTTTGACGATCGCAGTACCAGACATCTCGCTCCTTTGAATGAAAAGTGAATTGATGGAAAATTCATTTTTCAAAATTTTTCATTTAATTCAAAATTAATTTTTCCATAATAGTCCACTGCTGCCACCCTCCGTTGCATGAAGGTTTGACGATCGCAGTACCAGACATCTCGCTCCTTTGAATGAAAAGTGAATTGATGGAAAATTCATTTTTCAAAATTTTTCATTTAATTCAAAATTAATTTTTCCATAATAGTCCACTGCTGCCACCTTCCGTTGCATGGAGGTTTGACGATCGCAGTACCAGACATCTCGCTCCTTTGAATGAAAAGTGAATTGATGGAAAATTCATTTTTCAAAATTTTTCATTTAATTCAAAATTAATTTTTCCATAATAGTCCACTGCTGCCACCCTCCGTTGCATAAAGGTTTGACGATCGCAGTACCAGACATCTCGCTCCTTGGAATGAAAAGTGGATTGATGGAAAATTCGTTTTTCAAAATTTTTCATTTAATTCAAAATTAATTTTTCCATAATAGTCCACTGCTGCCACCTTCCGTTACATAAAGGTTTGACGATCGCAGTACCAGACATCTCGCTCCTTGGAATGAAAAGTGAATTGATGGAAAATTCATTTTTCAAAATTTTTCATTTAAAGTTTTCATTTAATTCAAAATTATTTTTTCCGTACAAGTCCACTGCTGCCACGGCTTGAATACCTCGGTCTTTTAAAAGAATAATATGCGAATTGCACAAATACTCGTATTGTCATTAGTCGTTAGTCGACGTGTGCGGAATACGCACACGCTTACCTAGAAACGGTTCGCTTCGTCATTCATTATGCGTACAGAAAGGGAGTTGAATAATTCGCCAGCATCTATCTTTCCATCCGATTATAATGTCTCTTGCTTTGAACACAACCTAAGAGTGAATAGGCTTTTGTTATGGTACGTCAGTGCACCTTACCATCTTCAGCTGCAACACCAATTACCATCAGGTGGAATTAGTAGCCAAATACTGACTTATAATAGCAGAAAAGGAAATACGTAGAACTTTTTTATGGATCACGGTTATAATTTAATTGGACTGCCTCGTTGGTCTAGTGGTTGTAGCAGTGTGGCTGTTGATCATGAGGTTTTGGGTTCGAATCCCGGATCGGGCCTAAAAATCAAATATTGAGTTATTTCATCAAGAAATTCTCAGTAGCTGCCCGGAGTCAGAGAGTTGGCGGTATCTCACCCTCGTGCCTCGGAAAGCACGTAAAGCCGTTGGTCCTGCACCTGATCTCTCTCAGGTCGTGTCGGTTTACCGTCCCATTGAATTATGAGAGTGAGGGAATGGAGAGTGCACCTGTGCTTGCGCATACACTTGAGCACTATCCTGTGTCGATGGCTAGTCTCCGTTGAAGCTGGCCGCCGTGACCGAAATTCGGTCTGGAGGACTTGTATCTGAAGTCGAGTTTGTGCTGAACAAAGTCTCGGATTGGGGGCGACTAAATCTAGTCCAGTTTAACCCTCAGAAGACAAAAGTTTGCGCGTTAACCGCTCAAAAGAACCCCTTTGTAGTATCTCCTCAGTTCAAGGCACTCCCCTTGTTGCCTCAGCCAGTATCGGAATCCTCGGCATCGACATATCGAGTGACGTGCAGTTTCGTGGTCACTTGGAGGAGAAGGCGAAATTGACCTTTAAAAAGCTTTGCGTGCTGAGCAGAGCGGGACAGTATTTCATGCCGGCACACCGCCTGCAACTTTACAATGCGCAGGTTCGGCCGCACTTGGAGTACTGTTCCCATTTCTGGGCTGGAGCTCCCCAGTGCCAGCTCCTTCCACTTGACCGCATCGAGCGCAGAGCGGCTCGAATCGTCGACGACCGAGTGCTTTCCGATCGGCTTGATTGAGTGGCGCTACGAAGAGATGTTGCATCTCTTTGCATTTTCTTTCGCATATACCACGGAGAGTGCTCTGAGGAATTGTTCGGATTAATCCCAGCCGCCAAATTTCGTGAACGCACTACGCGGCAAACGTCCCGATACCATCCACACTATCTGGATACTTGACGGTTCACCACTGTACGTTTCACAAGGAGTTTTGTACGACCTCTCTGTGGAATAGTTTACCATCGGCGATTTTTCCGGACCGATACGATCTAGGGACCTTCAGGAAAAGAGCTTACTCCTTTCTAAAGGGCCAGCAACGCACCTACAACTTCCCTCGTATGGCGGTTGATCATGGGTGGCGGTAGTCACTTAACATCAGGTGAGTCGCATGCCCGTTTGTCCCCTCTTCTATAAAAAAAAATATTAATTATATTGATTGAAGTTATTGCGAGACTGTCCCCCGTTATCACTTTTCACCCTTCACAAGTCCTCTGCTGAACTTAGGCTTCCCCCAAGGAAAGACACACAGCACGGTTTTGAGCGACCTGTATCCATCGGCTTTTTGCATGTCTTACCAGGTCGTCACTCCATCTAGTGGGGGACCGTCTTACACTTCGCCTATCGGTACGAGGCTGCTATTGAACCAATATAAATTAATCAAAAATTTCTCAGACCAATAACTACTTTATCCGTGTAAGTATAACTTTATTATTGAAACTAAAATTTTATATTAATGTCACAGGTATTATCGAACGCACACAAGCAGCTTGGTTGAGGTGTTACAAAGGGTAAGTTGTCGCAGTAATCCAATCAGTTTTTAGCGCTATTTATACTGTGCTATTTTAAAGGCATTTAAACTTTATTGAACTCGTAAATGGTATTAAAAACAACATGCCATCTACCTACTCTTATATTATTGGTTTAGGATATAAAAATCAGCTTCGTGCCTGAATTTTAAACAACGAAAATGAGTTGTACCTCACACCACACATTTGCTTAGCTTTAGGCTGGAAGTTTAAGTTTCACCTGCCGCTGCCAATAGATAATATTTGTTTTTATAGTATAAGGGTGACAAACGAGCACACAGTCCACCTGATGGTAAGTGGATGCTGTGGCCCATAGACATCTACATTTATCTTCAATTAAGAATCAAAATGCAAATGCGTTGCCAGCCCTGAAGACTGAGATTGAATGCCTCGCTTCCAGTAAAAAGGGTCTAAGGTACTCTACACTCACCATACGAAACACAATAGCATTAAGCTGCTATTTTACACTGGTATTCTGTGAGAGCGTACTCCTACCCCGGTCGAGCCGACCCATTCGTGCCGCAACCACAATATAGCTGCAGCATGGTACTACCACGTAAAAAGAGCAGGTTTGATATAAAGCCATAAACAAGCGCGAAACAAAGTACTTGTACTTTTTTATTTAATGTTGTTTGTATAGTCGTCAACAATAATCGGATTTTGGATTATATCGATATTACTATCGATATTGTGGGGTCGATTTAATCGATATTATATATTAGGTTAAGGATAGGTGTAAAAATACATTAGTAATATTGTTTTATTCAATTTAAATATGTTTACAACTTAAAAACTGGTATTGTAGTTTTGATGTGGTTTTTACTATCACTTTCAAGGATTTTAAGACGGAGGTTAAGTTTTATAAGCAAGTCATAAAAGATAACACATCAGTAAATTGCGTGCATACAAAGCCAAAGGTAGAATATTTTAAAAACCGATTAGCTTATTCACTTTATGTGAACCTACTCGAAGAAACTTTACGTGGTAGAATTATGCTTCAACTACATTATAGTTGTAGTACGAATGAGGCGGCTCGACCGGGGAACCTCCCGGACGACGCACTCATAAAATCCCAGGGTAAAATAGCAGCTTAATACCGCTGTTTCGTATGGTGAGTGGACCGATCCGGAGTACTTTTTACTGCAAACGAGGCATTCCATCTCAGTCCTCAGGGGTGACAAGGCATCTGCGTTTTGATTCTTAATCGAGAATAAATGTAGATGTCTATGGGCCACAGCTTTTACTTACCATCAGGTGGACTGTGTGCTCGTTGGTCACCTTTATTCTATAAAAGTGCTAGGTGGTAGGATTCATAGTAGGTAGGACTTTTTGCCTAGGAATCCATCTGGGTTTGTACCACTCTTTTCCCAACTTCTGTCGCCAAGCAGCGGTGCCATCTTAATTCTTTAATTGTACTACAGTAGTCATTTACCATCTGATGGACTGTAAATTTGTTCAACCAGAAGAACAAAAGTTACAGCCTATATACATCCCACTCCTGGGCACAATAATAATTACACAGTAATAAAATTGCAATTAACAATTTCATTGGTGACCGTGGAGATCGAGCTCGGTTTGCTCGAGTACTCTGAAATTTACAGCGAGCACTAACCATCTGAGCTACCACGGCTCTTTATGCAAGATTAACAAAGAAAAAATAAAAAAAGAACTATTAAATACCAGTTTAAAATACATAACCGCTTCTGGTGAACGTTCGCTAAGTACATTTTTCGGTACGCTGTATTACCCGTATCACAGAGGAGGTAATCTGTGTACCCGTATATATCGTTTAGTACCCGAATGACCGAGCTTTGCTCGGTTTTTTTAAGTTACATTTATATACAAATTACACGAATAATAGTTTTTGATCTTATTGAAATAATAGAAAAAAACTGAACTGGTTATTTGAATAAAAAATCATGAGTGCAATTAGATTAATTAAAATTTTCGTATTTTTAAAAAAATACTAAAAAAAAGGGCTCGAAATAATAGATTTTCTCACAAAAGAAGGGAACTTGAAAAAAAAGGAAAAAAAAGTCGGATTCAAGACGGGACGCGAACCACGGAACACCGATATCACGCCCGAACAACATCCCATCTGAGTTATTACGATCGTTAGTAACCTGTCAAAATTTACCTTCTTATATTGTAGCAGTTTTTTATTGCATGAAAACACGGACAAAGGGACATTTTCTAAAAATAAATCCTAGTTAGATCGATTTATTGCCCTCGAAACTCTCTGGACACTAAATTTTATGAAAATCGTTGGAGCCGTTTCCGAGATTCCGATTAATATATATATATATATATATATATATACAAGACTTGCTCGTTTAAAGGTATAGGATAAATAGTATTACACGCATTAATAAGGAATTATAATAAACGTCGTTAATGCATTTGTGTCAACATCAATTCTGCTGCGTCGGCGCTTATGCCTATCTATATCTTTTGTATCATAGATGCTCCATTTAAAATTAATCCAGTTTAACCCCCGGGAGACAAGTTTGTCCGTTTCTCTCCAAAATAATAAAATATAGTCGTACTAGGTGCATTAAATTTTTTATTTCACTTCAGTGTACCGACATCTTGTTTTCCGCTCTGAAGCGTATAGAGAACCAGTATTACAAGTTGTGATGCATTTCATGTTAGTGCTTAGAGGTGACAACGCATCTTATAAACGTCTTTGTTTGTAGTTAGCTATAGATATGTGACGTCAGACCATGGACAGCAGTATAGCCACTTGCCATCAGGTGGACTGTAAGTAGGTATGTGACATTAGACCATGGACAGAAGTATAGCCACTTGCCATCAGGTGGACTGTAAGTAGGTATGTGACATTAGACCATGGACAGCAGTATAGCCACTTGCCATCAGGTGGACTGTAAGTAGGTATGTGACATTAGACCATGGACAGCAGTATAGCCACTTGCCATCAGGTGGACTGTAAGTAGGTATGTGACATTAGACCATGGACAGCAGTATAGCCACTTGCCATCAGGTGGACTGTAAGTAGGTATGTGACATTAGACCGTGGACAGCAGTATAGCCACTTGCCATCAGGTGGACTGTAAGTAGGTATGTGACATTAGACCATGGACAGCAGTGTAGCCACTTGCCATCAGGTGGACTGTAAGTAGGTATGTGACATTAGACCGTGGACAGCAGTATAGCCACTTGCCATCAGGTGGACTGTAAGTAGGTATGTGACATTAGAACATGGACAGCAGTGTAGCCACTTGCCATCAGGTGGACTGTAAGTAGGTATGTGACATTAGACCGTGGACAGCAGTGTAGCCACTTGCCATCAGGTGGACTGTAAGTAGGTATGTGACATTAGACCGTGGACAGCAGTATAGCCACTTGCCATCAGGTGGACTGTAAGTAGGTATGTGACATTAGACCATGGACAGCAGTGTAGCCACTTGCCATCAGGTGGACTGTAAGTAGGTATGTGACATTAGAACATGGACAGCAGTGTAGCCACTTGCCATCAGGTGGACTGTAAGTAGGTATGTGACATTAGACCGTGGACAGCAGTATAGCCACTTGCCATCAGGTGGACTGTAAGTAGGTATGTGACATTAGACCATGGACAGCAGTGTAGCCACTTGCCATCAGGTGGACTGTAAGTAGGTATGTGACATTAGACCGTGGACAGCAGTGTAGCCACTTGCCATCAGGTGGACTGTAAGTAGGTATGTGACATTAGACCGTGGACAGCAGTATAGCCACTTGCCATCAGGTGGACTGTAAGTAGGTATGTGACATTAGACCATGGACAGCAGTGTAGCCACTTGCCATCAGGTGGACTGTAAGTAGGTATGTGACATTAGACCGTGGACAGCAGTGTAGCCACTTGCCATCAGGTGGACTGTAAGTAGGTATGTGACATTAGACCATGGACAGCAGTGTAGCCACTTGCCATCAGGTGGACTGTAAGTAGGTATGTGACATTAGACCATGGACAGCAGTATAGCCACTTGCCATCAGGTGGACTGTAAGTAGGTATGTGACATTAGACCGTGGACAGCAGTATAGCCACTTGCCATCAGGTGGACTGTAAGTAGGTATGTGACATTAGACCATGGACAGCAGTGTAGCCACTTGCCATCAGGTGGACTGTAAGTAGGTATGTGACATTAGACCATGGACAGCAATATAGCCACTTGCCATCAGGTCGACTGTAAGTACGTTTGTCACTTCAATATTAAAAAAAAATTCTTTTGTCGTATCTCCACAACCACAACAGCGCCCTTGTTGTCACAGCATATATAGGAACTCTCGGCGTCGATATATTGTTGGACATCAAGTTTCGCATTTACTTGAAAGAGTTGAATCGGAATTATTTCATCCCGGTACCCCGCTTACAACTTTACCAGGCACGAGTTCGGCGTCACATGGAATACGATGTGTATGTCGTATCTCTAAGTACGAAAATCGCGTGACTTATTATTGCATTCATTTTAACAGACTTTAAAGAAAGGTACCTCCTGTACTCAATTGTAACCTTTATGGTGTTAATACAATAAAGTTTTCAAATAAAATAAAATAAATATAATCAATACGCATATTAGTGAAATCATAAAAAAGAGCACTTCCGAGTGTGTAATGAAAAGAAAATATTTTGCTACTAACAGTAAGAAAGGACTGCACACGTGGAATTATGAACAGTGCATATTTTAGCGCGTATTCTAAAATGCCGGCCCCTAAAATCCGCCACGCATTGTAGTCGCTGAAATTGTCACCAATACACCAGTTAAATAAATAACATAAATGCGCGTGTCTTTGTCTGCGCTCTGCTTCTATTATCACTTTGCCATTTGTTTGCCATATGTAAGGTACGTGAGGGTAATATGTTCACCTTAAGCTTTGCCTTATAAAACCAAAACTAGGAGGAGGACAGAGACAAAAACACTAAGTCGAATACTATAAATAATATATTAAGAAAAAAAACAACAAGGTTTTAGCAATATTAGGAAATCTTTGAAACATCAACTTAAAAACTAACTACACTACACCACACTAATATCGACTACAATATTTACTATAGTGTCAACTGTTAAAATGGCGTCGATGAAGCAGCGCCCTTTTGACCCTTTATTATTTGGTTGACTGATGAAGGGCAATGGTATCACAAAGGCATCTATGTAAACAAGACTGTAGTTTTTGAGTTATAAGAAAGTGACCATATTAACCGGATCACCATATTAACCTCACGTACTATAATCTATATTGAACTTTCTCAGAAGTGAGAGGAGCCTTGAGCTCAGCATTGGGACGTATAAAGGCTGTAACTTTCACTTTCATATTAAATAAAAATGGTTCTATTCTATTCTATTATAGTAGTAGTTCTATATATATATATATATATATATATATATATATATATATATATATATATATATATATATATATATCCTTCACAGAGCCGGATAGTATATGCTGCGCGGGCCCAATGCCCATCGCCAGACTTCACATGCCCTCGACTTTATTCATGCGGTTTTCGTTGTGATATATTCCTTCATTACCGAGCGCGTAGTAAATCGTCAATCACATTGTAATTAATAATTTAATTTGAGCCGGTAGGGTTGTTCGACCTTCTAACCCGGGTTATTCGCGTACTATATGTATCGTAAGGCCAACTGAGCCAATGAACTATCAACGTTCTTGAATTTACACGATAACAACCTAGTGATGCGAATATATCACAGACACGCCTCAAAATTACCAATAAGACAGCGACTTCAAAATAACCGTCGTTTAGCGAAAACAACGCAGAATTTCTTGACAAAAACCCCAATAACTGATATTGACCCGACCCGAGATTCGAACCCGGGACCTCATGATTAACAATGGCGTTTACGCCCACTAGACCAACGAGGCAGTTGTATTTAAAATATTTTATACCAAAAACATGAAAGAAAATAATTGTGAGGAAACCAGGTGATAAATGCACTTAATGTTACAGTTAACAATTTAACCACGTGATAGAGTTACGCTGCAGCTATATTTAAAAAAAAAAGAATATTAACAATACTATAAACATTATTAATATTCCCCTTAACCACTCGTGGTAAGCCTAAATTGCTTGTGTTACGAGTGGTTCACGCCAGTAGTCGAATGGCGGATTCGAACCCACGATCTATTTGAGTTCGCGGTCCGCGCCCTGCCATTAGGCTACTGTCGCTTCAATATCAAATATTATAGTTGTAACACGAATAGGAACATAAGAATAGCAAGGAAGGATCGCGCTCTCACAGAATACGAGCGTGAAATAGATCCTTAATGTGTTTCGTGTGGTGAGTGTAGAGAGCCAGGTACCCTTTTTACTGGAAACGAGGCATTCCACTTGGTCCTCAGGGATATCAACAACTAAAAAACTAACTAATTTGACTTCATAAACACGATAACCTGTGATTAAACTAGACTCCTTTCCAGGTCTCTATCGGAGTATCTCCGAACTCCATTAGAAAACCCACTGCCAATAATCCAGTCCTCATGCTTCGACAAGTCCCAACCAACCGTGTTTTACACATTCGGTTACCAAGGCAAGACCGCCGGACCAGCTACCACGGCGGTCCTCGACGCTTACATAACCAAGAAGAAGAGGAACCTCATACTCCTGGACTGGGAGGAAGAGGCGAAAATGGGTGCACTTGGATTTACTGTCAGCTATGTGACATCAGCTGCACCGAATGCTAAACGGGTGTGTTAGTTTTTTTAGCTATAATTTAACAAAGCAATCTTTCAAGCCTACAACTCCGTCTGGTACTATTTTGTATGCTGCTTCTGTCACCAATCAGAAAGAAACTATATAATCACAAGTCCCCGGTGACAACACATTTGCATCCTTCTTTGTTTGGAGTGGGCTAGCAGCTACAGGTGCCCGTGGTCTGCACTGGCCAACCATAGAACATTCATTATGAAAGATATAAAATTATATATTTTAACAACGATCGACGAAATTTGCGAACAGTTTTAACGAATATTATTTTTAAAACCAAATTGTGAATTTGCACAGATAAGGTACAATTTTGAGAAACCTTGGACCCGCTATACGTGGTAGAGCCAGACTGCAACTATATTATTTGTAACTCGAATGGCCCAATCGGAGTGGGACTACGCTCTCACAGAATACCAGCATAAAACAGCAGCTTAAGGCTGCTGTGTTTCGTATGGTGATTGTAGAGAACTGGAGACCCTTTTTACTGGAAAGAAGGCATTCCATCTTAGTACTCACGGGTAATAACTGGGCCACAGTATCCAATTACCATCAGGTGGGCTGTGTGCTCGTTTGTCACCCTTATCCTATAAAAATACTTATTTTTGAAGTGAAAACTTTTGAAGTGAAATTTTCTTTAGGCACGTTGGGCACTTTTGAGATGTTGAAAACACTGAACTCGCGTGACCGTCACGCTCAGGTACATAGAATTGGTGAAAGTAATGTTAAAAATCCAATTGATTAAAGTTTATAAAATTGTTGAACATATCATGTATGCTGAATTTCGATTTTTAACGGAAGATAAATGTAGATGTTATGATATATATGATGAAAAAACACCGTAATAAATGAAAATTTTATTACTATACTAATACAATATTGATAAAAATATTTGCAAAAAATATTTACTAACAACCCAAAAATAACGTTCACAAGTTAGTGTTGCAGTCCTATCCCAGTACACTGATGGTATATGAATTTCAAAGTCGATGACAATCGACTAAATATGAATAAACACAGTATATCTTTTAAACATATTGATTTAATACATTTTAGACGATGACAAATTTTACATAACTTACTATTGTTATCTATGCTACTGTATTCTTTAACAGATAGGCGAGGAGCTTGGAAACAGTTTACTTATCCTAGTAAACGCGGGACTTGATTTAAATAGCATTCATTTAATGGGACATTCTCTCGGCGCTCAATTGATGGGCTACACGGGAAGATTTATGAGACAGAGGGGAAAGGCGGTAAGCAGGTAATTAAATAAACAAATAATTCTAATGTAGTAATCTTATTACTAATCTTAAATTATAATCATCACATAATTCTTTTAACTGCATTTCTTGAATTTAAAATGACATGACATATTTGAAAGTAGTGAAGATGACTACAATTCCATTCCATCTCTGCATCTGCGTACAAGTTATTAAAATTTCTAAGTTTGTTGCCAAATGTAAGGAGATTTAATATACACTTGGCAGATAAGATAGCGATTGCAATATCAGTTTAAATATTTATTTTATTTTACTTTAACCCACAAAGTGTGTAAAGAATACAAAGGGTATGTTCCGAAATACAACGTTATACTGTCCAATGCAAATGACGTCATAATTTGACACTTTATTGTACTAGCGTGCCGACGCCGTATTGTGTCGGATATCCGGCCATAATAAAACAATTTTTAATTGTGTGTTTGCCGAATGAAGCATGCCAGAATTTGTTTCTATTTATTTAAATACAAAAAATTATAGAATAATTGACGGTATATCCATTAGGAGGATATAATGATTTTTGGAGCACAAAATGACAAAATAATCGCCAACACTTTTCCAAATGGCGCAAACGTATGACGTCATATACTGTCCAATGTTTTGGAACGAATCACCAGGATAGCGTCAATTCATGACGTCATTTGCATTGGACAGTACACTGCGTTGTATTTCGGAACATACCCAAAGTGCGTAAACCGTGTAGTAGTGGCGTAACAATAACCACCAGCAAACATAATCCCGTGAGAGTCGAAGAGGCGACAGAGGGAAACATCAGGACAAAGGCAGCAGCGTCTTACTAATAACTATAAACCTACCTAACCTGCAGTTACCAATCCGCTCGACAAGCGTGGCAACTATGGCAAATATTCCCCCTATAAGAGAACGGGGGAGGCATATGTTCAGCAGCGAACTTTAATAGGCTGTAACTGTAGCGCAAAGTGGTAAATATGGCAGACTTAATGTCAAAAATCATTACCTCCCAGCAGTTAAAAAGCGATGCAGCAAATATCGAAAAAAAATTATGATAAAAGTTGAAACATTATGTATACATATACCTACTCATATACATAATTATATATTATGTCAATATCTATACACAAACACTTATAACTTTTACTTAAATTCTCGTACATGCAAATATATAATTACTAGCGATGCAAATTTGTGTGGGACTACCACTGAATTATAACCATTTAATAAGAATAGGGTCTTCAAAATTGACAAAGATATTGCGTATATATAGCGAGCCCTGTGTCTGATGAAGCTAGCAGCACTACCATCACGATATAGATTGGTTGGTATAAACCGCGCCTGAATTTATTTCTTGCTTATATAAAACTTTGTGCCGTGTGAGCTGCATAACTAGCAATCTCGGCGTTGACTCGTCAATGTTAGGTAATTAATTGTAAATATAATGAGTTGCGGTTTAAACTGACACACATTTATCCACTAGTTTTAGGTAGTTCTTAAACTGTTTTTACGTGCTTCACTACATTGTTATAAATGAAGACTATGGTATGATGTGATGTCACATTATCATTTATTACCATAAAAATAGTAGAATTGGACATAAAGAGAATACTGTCTGTGTCTATGGTAGTAGCATTACTGTATTCTTTTAATAACTATCGATGAGATAACCAAGCACTCAGTCTCCAGAGCTAGCACCATCACGTAAAATAATAAAACGTTTATTTGATGAGTTGAGTAGGCATAGCCACAGCTGGTGTTAACCTCTCCCATTATTCTCCCGTAAAGGCCCTGCTTGACAGGTGGCTATCAGACTACACTGTTAACGTCTTGCGTCTTTGGCTTTTGCACACGTCAGTCAGTCTGGTTGTATTTTCATCTACATGTAATATGAAATGTCTTTCACACATTTCCTTTAGTCACATCTTTGGATAGTCTTAAATCGGAAAAGGGTCTTTAATTAATCCTCATAACTACCTCATAACATAACCAAAATAATTTTGGTATTTCATAATGTGCTTAATAGAAATAAATATAAGTTTAATGATAATAATTCATTGCCTAACATCGCTAAATTTATATAACAGAATAACAGGACTTGATCCGGCACGCGCTTTATTTGAAGGCACCTTCTCTTTTTACACAACACTGAGCAGAACCGATGCCAAGTTCGTCGACATTATTCATACCGACCCTGGTAATTACGGCACAAGCAAATCAACGGGAACAGTCGACATATGGCCAAATTACTATGGAGGAAATAACAAGCAGCCCGGCTGCCCCAAGGATTCATCTGACAGGTTCAGTAGTAATGGTAAGACAAAAAAAAACATCCTCTATCTTATTTTTCTACCTATTGTAAGTCAATGTTTGACGGCTGCATCATCACTTACTTTAAGAAAAGCTTATTTTAAGAAAAGCTTATTTACTCTTGGCATGAATCACATTCTAATCAAAAGGATAGTAAGGACCTGACAAATTTTTTTTCCACTTCTTTGCTGCACGTACAACGAAGCAAACAGTTTCGTTTGAATTCGCGATACTGGACTGTGGTACGTGGACTCTTCGAGCGTCTTATTGTTGCATTTCCAATTTGCTGTCTAGAGGGATCTAATGCATCTACCTTTCTTCCCAAGGGTAAGGCAAATGGTGGAAGCACACGTACCGTCACGTTAAGATTGTGTACTTCCTCTACAAAATTATTGTAATATAATGTCCAGATTAAAATTAACTATACGATGACTGATGCACACGACTATCACAGTAACAAGCGTCCCAAATAACCATAAAGATATGAAACTCTTAACTTGGTGTGAGTCTGGGAGGTATTGCGATCGTCAATCCATCTGCCATGCTTAACGATTAAGACAAACCTTTGTCTACAACGGAGAGAGAGGCTTACATGGCTGATAAAGCGGGGGGAGATGTGATCTTGTAACATAATTAGAATAATTTAAAAAAAAGACATGTGTACACCGATGTCAGTTATCATCACATTTTGTTGGAACTTATTTAGGCTTTCTGTATTTGTATAGGTATACCAATCTATAAATTTAGATCAACAAAGAAAGAAAGAAAGACAAAGCGCTGCGTACGTTTAAAGTGACGCCAATACCTGGCTGGTTTGATTCTATATTATTTTATAGAATAAGCGTGACAAATGAGCACACAGTCCATCTGATGGTAAGTGAATGCTATGGCCCATAAGTATCAACATTTATCCTCTATTAAGAATCAAAATGCGGATGCGTTGTCACCTCTGAGGACTAAGATGGAATGCCTCGTTTCCAGTAAAAAGGGTCTCCGGATCGCTCCACTCACCATACCAAACACAGCAGTATTAACCTTCTATTTTACGCTGGTATTCTGTAGGAGTGTGGTCCATCCCCGGTCGAGCCGACCCCTTCGTGCTACATCCATAATATAGTTCCAGTGTAAAACTATATATAGAAGTAATAATTAATAAATTGCCTACATCGGTTCATTAACCTCTCTATATCACCAATTTTGAATTACATACATTCTAAAAAAGGAAATATAGTAAAATTGATAACATTTTTATAAAAGTTATTGGAATATTGTATTTTATATTTTATTAAATAAAAGACCGATTAATTAACTTCTAAATGCCGCGAGGAATGCAATTGATCAGGATGACATTGGATTACCTTAACTTAGTTTCTAATTGCTACAGACCTGTGCAGCCATAATCGCTCGTGGCAGTACTTCGTGGAAGCAATATTGTCCCCCACCAACATCTCGGCTATCTACGCGGACGACTACCAGGCCTGGCTGGAGGACTATACGAGAGGCAACCAAACTGTGTACATAGGAGACTTGATTAACACGCGGTTAGTGACATAATCATGACTTGGGATAAAGTTTTTACCTTGAGAAAGTTGGAAAGTTTTAGCGCCACGTGCGGTGTTAGAATAACCACTGCCCCGTATCATCCCGTGGGTGTCGTAAGAGGCGACGGAGGGAAACAAATCAGGAGATAGACAGCAGCGTCTTCCTGATAATTACCTACTAAAAATAAAAAACTGTGGTTGCTAAGGCGCTTGGCAACTATATTATTATTATTATTAGTCTATGGGGTCTATGTTCAGAAGAGGAATTTAATAGGCTGTAACGGTAATTTTTAGGAAACCTTAGAAACACTGGCATTGTTTAATGGCTCACGTGCTGTGACCACGCTACATGACATATTAAGGGTGAAAGAACATCTTTTTCCTAGGCATGTATAGCTTTGAATAAAAAAAGAACAAATCTAAGTATTGATAAATGATCACCATTAAGTGTCCTCATTCCTTAAAACATACCTGAATTTTTTTTATCTACTAACACATGTACATAAATTAATGGCACGGAGCAGGTCACGTCTATTGAAAAGTTTTTGAGAACATTTTTGTAAATTATAACGATGTTTCCAATTAAAATTGAATGAAATGGAATAACATTGTGCCAATATAACTACTTCAACATTTATTACTTATGTTTACAGCGAACATGTAGCGACGGTATAGGAATACCCACTAACCATACCGTCCCGTTGGTGTCGTTATGCATTTGACCTACGTACAGACAAATAATTCAATTAATTTAACCTAGTTGAAATGAGGACTAATAACTAGCGATATCTGCCAGATACCGCTAGTTGCAGCTGAGTTAAATTTTTTTGTTACACAATATTAGTTAATTGTGAAAGTAATTTTTAATAATAATTTATCAGTTTCTACACAATCCAATTCCCCAGTGGTTTGATCTTTAATTTTTTGCACTTTTAAATTTTTTTATTTTACTTTTAGTTATGCCCATAGTTTGATCCATTCATTTCTATTCATATTAATATATAATATAACTAATACACAAAGAATAGTGTTTCTTACCCTACATTTTCCTAAGAAATTGTCTTCCCTGCCGGGCTAGCATGGGCGGGGGACAATATATCCCCGGGGAGAGGATACAATTTTTATCCCTTGCTTAATTTTATCCACCCTGCGAGCATGGGCAAGAGACAAAAATTATATCCCCCGATTATATCCACTGACAAGAGATAAAATTATCTTATCTCTATAGTATATCCCCATTTGACATAACGAGTAGACATATATCTCCCCATCCGTAGCATAAGGCCAAGGGAAAGAGAAAAAATTATTCCTTTTTGACATTTGGAAAGGGACAATTTTATCCTCTTTTGCGGACGTGGGTTTAAGTTTATCTTCAAACCATTTTAATACGAAAAAGATGTCTCGAGCCTATTGCAACTACATTTTCGTGTCAGAAATTGAAAAACAAGAAAGAAAATTACACCAGCGATCGATACGTGATCAGAATACTTAATCTATTGGAATTCTCCGACAACGAATTTCTACTCCGGTTTCGGATGCTCAAAGATTGTTTTGTATTTGTGTAAAGAACTCTATGAGGCTTTAAAGCCTATTAATTCTGTGGATGGATTACCAGTGCATATTGAAGTAAGCATCTATTACAACCACCTTGTCCAAAAACATCGTATATTTGCAATCAATACATGTGGCTTATGTAACTTATCTTAATATTTTTTCTGGGTAGGTAGTTTACATCTTTCAGTCTCGCGGTAGATGGTAGTTACCTACTAGAGTGGTACGATTCAAGACCATGGCATGGCTGTTGTTCAAACAACAAATAATCAGCAAGTACTTGACCTAAATTATTGGGGCCATCATTAGAATGTGGGGAGCAATATACTTTAATTAGCCTCTTGTGTAGGTAAATACAAGTTTAAAGACTAATATACGTAATATTAGGAATACAAATAACACAATACTCATGATTATAAAATTATTTATTCCTTGTTTTGTTTGAAATCATTACATTTTTATTCTTCATGCTTCATCATTTTCAATTAAAATTAAATCTTTGTGACTTAGAGTAGATATCAATTTTGATGTATTTTGTAATTTTCTTATAATGGCAGTAATTGCGGGGATAATTTTTTTTAATTTTCTCAAGAGGTTATACCACCTCCAAAGGGTCTGTATTGTCCAGTTTCGCAATTGGCTTAAATCTAGACACATATTTTTTTAATAAATGCTATCACAAGCGAAGTAATACCTGCGATTTGGTACAAGCAATGTATACGTAACTTAAATATTATACAAAAGAAAATAAAGAAAGAATTAGAATAATAGAAAAAATAAAAACAAGGCAGAAATACGCTTAAAATAAATATACCAAATATTATAAATGACATATTGTTTAACAAAAATTATTAACATTTTAGTAATATAATAAACAAAAGGTAAAAGAAAATATAAGTTAATGTAAAGCTATTTAATCTTAAAAGAAGTTTATAGCTAGTATAGTTTATAGCTTTATACTATCGTACAAAGATGTTTTGTAAAACATCTTTGCTATCGTATATTATCTATGCGCGGGGATAAGTTTATCTACTGTCGATATTATATCCACCATAGGCCCATGCTCGCAGGGTGGATAAAGCTTTGACATAGGGATAAGACAATTTTATCCCTTGTCAGTGGATATAATCGGTGGATAAAATTTTTATCCCCTGCTCATGCTAGCTCGGCTGCTATGAAATCTGTCAAATATTGTATCTCACTGCAAAGTGGCGCCGCCCTAGTGGAGGAAAAAGTCAATCGATTTCACTGGATACTACTGCCACCTATTATTGAATAGCTGGAATTTTTGAGTATCGGTAGTTATTTAGTTATTAAAATAACCGTTCAAAACTAATATTGCCGGTTTATATAACCTATAGCCGGTAATTTGGCTATTTACTGTCTATTACACTATTTCGGCTTCTTCTATAATTAAATTATAATATATTAAAGAATATTTCTAGTTGATTCTTCAGTTTACTCTTTATTTTGGGACAAGTGGTTAGCTATACTGTTAGCAATTTATGCGAAAAACTGTACTTTTTTACAATAAAAACAGAATTTTACGGCATTCCTTCGATATTCACAATCAATATGATTGGTGCCTCCATAGTGACGGAGTAAGAGTCGTAAGAGGCGATAGAGGACATCTGAAATACTTAGATGTGCAGCATCTTTTTGATACCTGCTCAAAATAATAAAAAAAACAACTATGAAAAATATCCCTCCTATGAGGCAATGAATGGGGGAAGGTCTTTGTTCAACAGTTAAAGTTTTAAAAACGGTTGATTAACTGTAATAAATTATTTTTAAAAAATCAGTGTCAAGCACAATTTTATGTAATATTTCTTTCTCCAGAGCGCGAGGCAATTACTACTGTTCAACTAATTCCGAGCCTCCATTTGGAAAAGGGGCAGAGGGACTGAAGCCAGACTACCAAGGAGCTACCTCCCCCAGTGCGACCCCTATTTCATAATTAGCGAATTCGTTGAGATGACAATTAAGTCTCGGCATCGACTATTGCAGACATTCTGTAGTTTATTTAAAAGATTACTTTTATAGATTGCTAGCTTAATTATAAAATAGAGAAAAATCAAAGATATATTAGTTTTGAAACTTCGTTTCACCTTGATAAGTATGAAGAGTTGAGTGAGATCAAAGTGAGTTAGTGTTAAAATATTTAGGTATGATAAATTAACAAATTATTTTGATTAAAATATACCTACATAATTCAGATATTATTGTTTTTATTTTATTTTGTAAAAATAAGAACCGAATGCCAGCTGAAAATTGGTCTGAGATCGACTTAAAAATCCTGTTACAAATTTCTGTATAACTAAGTGGGAGTGGCTTTAAAATCCAGTTTCGAACGAATTTTCCATTCTAGTAGGAAACTGCGGTCATAGAGTTTGAATTCCACCAAGAACCAACATGAATGTAATTATAAAACAAATTGTTAAATTTGGTATAAATAAAAATATTTATATATATAAAATCACATTTTCATCACACAATGAACATTTTAGTTTCTTTTGCGTTTTCTAGAGTTTAAATATACTTTAAAGTACCTCCATTTACAAAATGTAGCTTCACAGTTGCGCAAACTTGAACCTCACCCACATAGTTTCATTGTCTTCTCTCTTCGGCTCTGTTGAGGAACGTCTACGGTTCAGCAATATTATGAATATTGGACCATCGAAACCGAAGAGCCGTCTGTGCACCTTGGGGGAGGCCTGTGCTCAGGCAGTGGACTTCCACAGGCTCATGATAATAATCATTGATGATGCTGATCCTTTATAAAGTTCACAATATGAATTGAATAACAAAACAGTAAGATAGAAATAAAACAAAACTGAGTAGATAATGTATAAATTTGTTTTATTATAATGTTTACAATATGTACACAATAATGTATATTTTATAATATTCATTTTAAAACAAATAATACTAAAATCACATCTTTTTTTCTTTACACATTGAATATATTCACATAAAGTTTTGGTATCTCTTAAAAACAACTATTTACAATCTTCGATCATATGGACAATTTATTTTTTCAATTTATAGTTATGTGAAAAAAAGAAATGCAACAGTGGTTATGTATGGTCAAAAATATTGCGTAATTTACATTAAATAAAAAATAAGTTTGAACAACCAACATAAAAATAAACAACCTGTTTAATAGCTTAAATATTATTATTATTAAAATAAATATCCCACCTTCTAGCAACCTTGCTTTTTTCACCAAGAAAATCATAATGAGGAAGTAGTTTTTTTATTTGTTTTTTTTTTGGTAATGGACTCGTGCAGTTGTAATTTTGCCAGGGTCAAGTAATAGGAAATTGTCTTTTAAAATAATTGTTAAAAATCTTCCTTACAATATTGGTGCATACATTACTTAAACGATAATACAAAAGCAACAAGCCGCCAAGCGGTCAAGCCTCCCGCCGAACCACCCAAAGAAATAATTCTTCATAAGGAAGTGTTGTTATGGGTGTTTCTTTTTTATTCATAAACAGAGTTTTTTTTTTATTTTGATAGCTACAAAAAGTATAAAATAATATTATGTTGATTAAAATTATTTTTACGGATTTTATCGCGTTTAATTTTCATTCCCGACGTTTCGGGTGCTTTCTAGCACCCATGGTCACGGGGGACTGAGATGACTGACGTCCCGATGTCATTGTTAAACCCGGAGTACCTTCAGCTTTTTTAATTATTGTTTATGGTCCGATCTATGCAAAATGAACTGACTGTGTCTTGAAGTCCTGCAGTGGTATGCTTGGGTTTAGTTTTAATTTTATTGATTATAGGGTCCCAAGCAGGTGGTAGTACCCAGCCTCTTTTTCTATTGAAATTAGGATGTTTTTAATTTCAATAGCCTCACGTTTCATCCTTGGTGGGAATCGGTGTTCTTTCGCGAGGATTTGTGGTCTATCAAATCTGATGTAATGGTTGGGACCGTCTAGGATATGATCACAAACTGCAGACTTCCCCGAACGTTGATGCTTCACATTCCACCCCACCACAGTTCCGGGAAGTCTGCTGTTTGTGATCATATCCTAGACGGCCCCACGTCAGTCATCTCTGTCCCCCGTGACCATGGGTGCTGGAAAGCACCCAAAACGTCGGGAATTAAAAATAAACTCTATAAAATCCGTAAAAGTAGTTTTAATCAATGTGTAGTGTTCGCGTAAATATAAGAAATCATTATAATATTATGTCTTAAACTTTTTATAGCTTTAACAATATCATAGAGCGCGTTGATGGTATGAATTTTTTTTTAATTAGTTTCATGTCCCTCATTCTAATATTGAAAACATCTACAAGTCGTTTCGTTTTCTAATAGTTATTGTTAGAAAACACCAGCTGTCCAGCGATATTGAGATTCATGTCATCAATGAGTTAAAAAATGCATTATATCCTTCTGACTGTATATTTGTGAGTCTTTTTATTTGTGGAACAATAAAGTGTGAGTTTTAGTGCAGGACAATCATTTATTTTTACGCACACAGCAGGCATATTCCGCTAGAACCCGGCCAATTTCTAGTTTGTTTTCACGTTATTTCTAAGTCTCAAATCTCAGGGAGGGAAAAGAGAAGATATTATTTATTACACTATCTTTCCAATTCTAATGGAAAAAAGGAAATAGTTTGAAAGACCTTTTTAAAATCACATTTTCATTTAGTTTCCGGTGGTAGAATTAGTAGATTATTGAAAACTAATCTGTAGTGTCCACTCTTTAATATAGATGAAGTTATTATGTTTCAGCTTGTAAAACTCCAGATAATAGAATAAAATAAATTGAAGGTTTTATGAATTGCCTCCATATTTGTCATAATACCTTGCATAAGTCACTAAAACGCTATTTATTATTAGGCACGAGATTTAAAATTGACAATTTTATATTCCTTGACTGATAAGGTAAAAAATCCAACTTCCAAATTTATTTTCACAAAGTTTACAGATTCTTGTAAACGGTGTAACGCACAAGCTATTAAGTTAAAGAGCTTTTAATAACGAAGTAGACAAATTAAAAATATACTAAGAGTAAAAGTCACATGTGCTCAAACCAGGAAAGGAAGGTGCAAAAAAGGATGAAAATTTTAATAAAAATTATGACGATGTAATTTTTTATTTTATTTTATGAAACCCTTTCAACCACAATTATCAGTACAGGCAGATGTATCTGCCATTATTAACGTACACTCTGAACAACATACTGTTAAGTTATTTATAACTGGGAAAATGTGTAAATATTATGTTTATATAGGTGAAATAAAATACGTAATGTGAACAAAGAGTGGTGAAAAGTATAAAAGTAAGTAATATTAAAAATTCCAAAGTAGGTTAATAGAAACTTTGAGTTACATCTTCACTTCCATGACTAAAATATCAAATCAGTTTTGATAAAATGACATCATCGGGATTTCATACATTTTTGGTCCAAATATGAAAGTGCCGGCCAATAAAAAAATATGCTGTATTCCGTTAGAACTTGTCCCCTTGAGTATTTATTATTATGACACCAAAGCTGTAGGGTCATTGTCCTTGGTTTTATTGGAGTTCAAAAATTCAACATCTTCATACATTTTCAGTGAATTTAATAAACGAAAACAAATGATTTGTTCTACCATATTTTTATTTTGAACATCGTTTAGTAAAATATATTGGTTCTTGACCTATTTTGGACATGTTGATCTTGTTTTGTGTTTTTGAGGATTATAAGTAAAATATGTATACAGGGGTTATTTTGTTTAATTAAACACTATAAAACCATCATCGTCTGGTACAACAATAATGTTCTCCAATCCATAAGCTGGAGGGGTTATTGCTGGCAAATGTCGTGCATGGCTCATGTACCATATAATGCACATAATATGGGAGCAGCATCCAATTGTTCGCTTTCCTATGATGCACGAACAATAATAGTGAGCGATTGCTTGTCGGCCTGATAACGACCTATCGATTATAATGTAGACATAATATTGTCTTGCTCTAACATGCCGCGATTGCAGTCGACCTCTTATCATCCATAAATCATTGCCCTGCAATTCCGCCAAGTCTTCATTTGATAACTCATTGCTGAGCTCAATTGTGAATGCTCCATTGTCAAGGACGTGCTCACCGTAATAGCTTTTGGCCTGTTTTAGTTGATAAACGCCCAGAGCGAATAATAATAATTCGTTCTCATCCATTCTTGGAAAATCTATAAACTCTGGCATACCTGCAGTCATTAAAGTAAACTGAGCACGTCTGCGATTGTAGTTATGGCGTATTACAAGATCTGCCAATCTATTTTGCATATTAATTCTTTGGTGGATAATCTCTAAAATCGCAGCAGCATTTGAATTATCTTCAATCAAAACATGAAAACGATTTATCATCGCCGCTGCTATCTTGAAATAGTTGAACATGCTGGGAAGAGCTCTGTTATTATATACATTTCGCAACAGGCGAAAATCTCTTTTGAACCTGCCGTTGACCACTTCAACCACCCAACGACAGATTGTTACCAGTCTGGACTTATTGGCCTGATCCGTGGTTAGCTGTGTCTCATTTGAATACTTTGTTTGAGGCATATGTTGTACGTATCCGCAAGATTCCAGATTTCTTGCTGAGTCTCGAAAACCACGGTCCAGAATAATAACATCGCCACTCCTATAAAACCAGTGGAAGGCACTGTCAGCATTATTAAGCATATCATTCATTATATCTGCGTCAGACGTGGTGGCAGCATATGGTCCGTTAACTTCGATAATGTGTCCATCACACGAAACCAAGAGGAACGGTTTTAGGAGGTTTCTGTATTTGTGATGGCTGTAAGACTTGCGTTGGAAAAAATAATTTCCACTTTTTTTGCAGATAGATGTACGTGCCATCACAAATCGTGATAGCTTTCCTTTCATCTTCTGGGCTCGATGGGTTCCCAAACAGATTGTTGGGTAGAAAAAGATTCCTGTGTGCTACATCCTCACGGGAAATATGGTCAAACCCAACATTTAAGGGCACAAAATCTTCTAACAGAGCGTTGCGTCCGATTAACCACGTATGAAACGCTGTTTCGCTACATTTAAAAATATTAGCAAGCCGCGCGTTCGAGTCACCTGTTCTTAACTTGACTAATACTGCCGCCAGTACGGTAATTTTATTCTTTTTAGTTCTCAGACTTGGTAAACTGTCTAATAATTCAGTAAACTGATCTTGAGTCAGTCCTGTCCAAGTATGAAACTCGGCTGGTGCTATATTTTCATACTGCTCAAAATCAAGTATTTCCTCCGTAATATGTCTTTGTAACATCGACACGATAGTCATTATTTGAGCTGCAGTGAATTCCTCAGAAGAGTTGTTTTGTACAGGAAGTAAATGCCACAGATTTTGCTCCACACGCGTTTTCTGGCACGAAATAGCTGTAGCGGCATACCATGCGAAAAATTATGTTCTCTGGAACACGACGGCGAGATTCATTCGTACAATGTAGGAAAATGCAACTATTTGCGGTGTTTGGAGCACGAAGAAGACCTGGCAAAATCAGCGAAATTGGTCTTGAATTTGGAACTTCCGATGGATCACGGTCTTGGTCAGCTTGCTGTTCAACCTCCCGAATAAGTCGCTGGTGCGTTCGTTCCGTTCTTTGCCAACAGGGTCGACAAATGAACGCAGTAGGCTCCAACTGTCGAGCTACTATATCTTCTATCACTATTTGGGCGATATCAAGATATTGCATTTCTCTGAAAACCCAATCATATCTTCGCCGATTCTCTGTCGATGCACGGCACGCGATACACAACTCTGCCATGACTCGCAGCAATGTTCAAACTTAACAACGGAGATAACAAAAACAAAACAAATCAAAGCACAAGAACTAGTGGGCATCACACAGACATACACGGCAGCGTTGCTTTCGGTACTAAACAATAAACGCGAATGCTAGCAAACGAATGAGCCTGGCGCGATGGCGGTAGTTCGCGGGAAAGAGAGGGGCATCTGCTCGCTGCACCGTATTCCATTGTTCGCGTGAGTGTTTTTGCCATTGTTATTGCCATTTTCTAGGAAAAAGTCCCGGCATCCCAGCCGATTATGCAGTAATATTAGTGGTTTAAATGTTATCTTGTCAGAAATAGGTCAAGAACCAATATATTTTTTACTAAACGATGTTCAAAATAAAAATATGGTAGAACAAATTCATTTTCAATTAACAAATCTTTGATTTGTTTTTGTTTATTAAATTCACTGAAAATGTATGAAGATGTTGAATTTTTGAACTCCAATAAAACCAAGGACAATGACCCTACAGCTTTAGTGTCATAATAATAAATACTCAGAGGGACAAGTTCTAACGGAATACAGCATATTTTTTTATTGGCCGGCACTTTCATATTTGGACCAAAAAAGATAGTTTGATGTCCTTTTTCAGCTAACTAGCTTGAAGGAGAATTTCAATTTATCTAAATAACACACAGATAAGTTGTGGGCGAAAACTAGTGTTTACGTAGATAATGTAGTCATCGTTCATACATTTCAGCCAAAATTCATTTTCAGGAGCATGTAGTACACTATATTCAATGTTTTTAGAATACACATAATTCTGTGTTACTGTATCTGGCTTGCAAATAACAGAACTCATGGAAATTGTGCCAATCCTCTCCGGCAAGCATTTTTAAAACGGCTTTTTCTTTATTTGTAATTAAATCTATAAATATAGGTTTAAGTATAACACAAATAACGTAACGGCATTAAACCGACGAAATTGATAGTTTCATTATATTTTTATACTTGGATATAGCCAGATGTGATTTGCCAAGTGGAGCAAACTTAAATAAAAAAGGCACCAAAACCATATCATACACCACAAACGAAAAACTTTTTTTTATAGGTGAGGGGGCAAACGAGGATACGGCTCACCTGATGGTAAGTGATTACCTCCGACCATGAACAGCTGCAACACCAGAGGAATTGCAGATGCGTTGCCGGCCTTTTAAAAAGGAGTAGGCTCTTTTCTTGAAAATCCCTAAGTCGTATCGGTCCGGAAAAATTCTGGTGGTAGTCGATTCCACAAGGAAGTTGTGCGAGGAAGAAAACTTCTTTTAAATCGCACGGTGGTGGACCGCCAGTCATCCAGATGGTTGTCGTTGTCTTTAATGAAAGATAACCAAGTGTGAAGGCATTGAAGTTAATGTGGGTTTAAATGTTAACATTACTAAAATGTTAAATCACAAAGGTCAAAAATGGGCAACAAAGAAGGAACTTGTATTTGAAAAAACTTTCTTCTCGATTCTGGCTATCGCACCTTATTTTACTTATGTTGATTCACAAGATGAAGTCAGAGGCTTTAGAGAAATTAAAGTGGATTTAAGCTACGTGATCGTGCCTTAGTGTTTATATTTAAAAAAAAAGTGGGTTCAAACTTCCGACAGGCAATTTCTAAAAAAGATATCAATATTTAATTCGCAACCATCCGCTTAATTAAATACAATGATGTGTCTTACCCGGATTAAAGAGAATTTCTTTCTACTTTTGTGAGGTAATAACTGCTACTGCTACAATTGTAAGGATTTAAAAGCATTAGCTGTTGTATGTGAATAAGGTACTACGATCAGAACGGCTATAACTATGTTGAAAAAAGAAAACTGAAAGCAAAAAAATGAAAAGGGTAATAAAGCAGTGTAAGGGTAATATAGTAAGTTGATAAACTTTTTTACTTATTTATAAGGACAGATTCAAGCAGTCACACTTGACCACTTCAACTGCGACTGCCAAGTGAAACACAATCTTACCATCCATTGACACACACACTAGCCTGCTGGCAAGCACAGTCACGACAGCATCAAGCGGTCAGCAGCACACAAAATTTCCATAGATCGAGCAGTTGTTAGACATAAGCACACTGACTGCTCGACATGTCGAGTCGAGTACTCTGACCATGAAGTTATAGATAAAGATGGAGGCCACACTTGGAACAACAGCTTGAGTCAAATACCTACGTATCTTTATCTCACTCTCTGTGGTCTGACTTCTCTTTTTAGTGTGGAATACAGTATTGCTATGTTTTTATTTAAATCTCCAGGTAAATTCTTAGAAACAGTTTCCACACTAACCAAATCAGAAGTTTAGCTCTATAAAATAATGTACCAATAAATAAATAGTTGAACTACGATTAGTTACATTGAATAAAACTATTATTTACGGATTTTATCGCGTTTAATTACTTTAATTTATTTTTATTATTATTAATTATTTCAATAGAGAAGATGGTTGGGTGCTACCATCTGCTTGGGATCCTATAATTAACAAAATTAAACCCAAACCCAAGCATACCACTGCAAGACTTCATGATACTATAAGCTCGTTTTGCGTAAATCGGACCAAAAATTAATATTAAAAAACTGAAGGTAGCCGGACTAACTATGACATTGGGACGTCAAACATCTCAGTACCCCCCGTGACCATGGGCGCTGTAAAGCACCCGAAACGTCGGGATAATAATAAAAATAAATTAAAGTAATTAAACGCGATAAAATCCATAAATAATAGTTTTATTCAATGTGTAGTGTTCGCGTAAATTTAAGAAATCATTATACGATTAGTTACACTAAAATTTCCAAAATTGAAGGTCTCGTATGCATTTTTGGGTTAACGAATCAGTGAATTACAATCCCATTTCCTAAGGGTCCGGTAATGTGGCAACATTAGCCCTATATGTCAACATAAATTAGACAAATATGGCGATTGTTTACTTAGCAGTTCACAGCGTTGTTTGAGAAATTTAAAGTTAATTATTGTTATAATTCAAGAAATGGTGCAAACTTGTGTAGTGCGTGGTTGCGGCAGTAGTTGGTGTCCAGGAGGTGATATCAGATTTCATGCGTAAGTGTTTAAATAGTGACTTCTGGCATTGAATACTTGTAAACATACTTCTTTGTATTTTCACCTAATTTTTTGCTGAAACGTTTTACCAGTGTTTTAAACATATTAGTAAATCATAACTTTATCAAAATCAAATAGTTTTACATTGAATTTAATTGACTTTGAACAATTTTATTGTTTTTGTTTAAAAGAAATCGCACTGAAGTAGTGTGACCATATTAAGGATGTATCTGAGACTTTCCGTGTCCTTAACTAATTATATGTACATGTTTCTTATTATGTTACCGGAAATCATTGAGTTACAATACCTATAGAGTCACAAACAGACAAATAAAATGTCCGCGCCAAAACTCGGCGCACGCTGCGAAGTGCGCAGAGTTTTTGTTTAGTTGTAAGGCGACCACAATCCTCGTACAACGTCCGCGATGCCAAAGTGTTCGGTGATTTCCTGCCCAAATAACAGCAGACACGTGCGAAAAAAAGGATGGTGTTTCATATTTTAGGTAAGTATCATACCAAATTTACGTATTTATGTATCCACAGTGCATGTTTTCATTTAAATTTCAATAATTTTCATTTTATTAGCAAACTAAAACACTCACCGCCGACCGCGCGGCGCCGCGATAACGTTTCTCTTTCACACGTTAGACAAATATGCAAGAGTAAAAGAGAAACAAATAGTCACGCGTACGAGAGTGACTCGCAAATTATGTTCTAACGGTTCTATGGAGTGGATTGATACAATAAATATTTTTACAGATTTTAAACTTAATGTACTAATATTACAATGTTCTGAATCTGAGTCCGAATACATTGATCAAATTGTGGGGTATATTTCTGGGAACGTTGTACGCCACATTTTAAAAAAGGTTAAGTGCGAAGTTTGTTGCAACTCTTTGATGGCTAAAGAAAAAATGACATTCCACAACTTGATTGATATCAAAAACATGGGAGGATTATTTTATTCGTCCAAAGGTGTGTTTAATTTATGCAAAAAAACCGAGCACACTATAAGACATTGTCAACGTTGTGGACTTAAGTTGAACCCACAAAAAATTATTTCTGCAGTTCTGAAATCATTCGTAGGTGCAATAGTTATGGAAGATCTAATTGAACATGCATTTGAATTTACAAACCATAGAACCATTTTAATGAGGGCAGTCATTGAACGGTACATAAACATTAGAATTCATTACATTGCAAAGAAATGTACTGAAAAAATTAAAAATCAAAGTAAAAGGCAACGTTACAATAAATTAACATTGTTTCAAGGTAATTAGGTTAGGTTAAGTTTTAGTTGTAAGTTATTAAAAGTAAGTAAGTAATATAACGCTTATACCTAATATTAATTTTGTTTTATTTTAAATTATCAGCGACCCGCGTGATCCCGTGTTTCCCGGTATAAAAAGTAGGTAGCATAAGTGATAATTTAGGGTATAAGCTATTTACATTTTCATCCGAATCCGTCGATCTGTTAGAGCACGAACAAAATACAAACATACACACTAAAACGTACATTTTAATACTTAGCATTTTAGTACCTAATTCACAAACCTTAGTGGTTTACTAGTGCTATTAATACTATTAATTATTACACCAATTTTTTTTTCATTTACTTATCATATAAAAAATCTTATAAAATGTGTTATAAGATTTTTTAATATGATAAGTAAATTAAAAAGAAATTGGTGTAATAATTTTTGAAATCAGTTGTTTAGTTCTCCTAGGTACATATAAACTCACAAACTCATATTTCACAATTATTATAAACTCCTAATAATATTAGTATAAATAGCGTCTCCACTGATGCCTTGTTCCCTGCTCGTACGCAAGCCCTTGAGTGAATGATGATGACATTGCATACGAGCGACTTTGAACATTATACAAGCAGGTTAACGTCTAAATTCGAGCAAATGTCATTTTGAACTATATAATATCAAAATATATAGGTATATGGAACGGCGCTCGGACATTTTTTGAGTATTGTCAGTTAGAGATTGTGACTCTATAGGTATTGTAACTCAATGCCGGAAATGCATGAAATTTAGGAATTATATACAATTCCTATGTATTCTATATAATGACGGATTTCATAGATTTCATAATATTAAATTATTAATTAGTAACATAATAATATTATATTCTTTTTTATTTAGTTTTTTTTTAGGCAGACAATTTATTTTTTATTTAGTTTTTGTTTCTCATTATTCTGATACTTTGGTAACGTTTACAATAATTACGAATATTTTTTTTAGATTTCCTAAAAACAGTACTCGGAGAAATTTGTGGTTTTCCATTGTACCATTGAAAATGAAGTATTATGAAAGTGCAAGGATTTGCAATTTGCATTTTCAAGAATCAGATTATGATTCAACAACAAGGCCAAAAAAACAAACCAACAGCAGTTCCTACTGTTATAATAAATCAAGAAACAGTATCACCAGGCAAGGTAAAAATTTAATATAATTTAATTATCTAATTTTTCGTAATATATTATATATTTAGAAATGTAGTGTTTAAATGCATGATATAAAGCAATATTTTGTAAAATATGTTATCATTTACAGACAACAAGTGCATTACATGAAGAGTCTATTGTGCAAATAGCTGCTCTGCTGTACCAAGCACTAGTTCTGACATTTATGAAAGTAGTTCTGCACTTAAGGAAACAGGAGTGAAACGTACTGCCTGTAATATTGAAGACCAAACTAGTAAAAAACAATGTCGAAAAATTCTTGAAATTTTTTGCAATCTTAACAAGTTACCTGTAAGTTTCCTTTTCCTTTATAACTAAATACATACCTTTTATTTGTATTTATTATGACTTTAATATTACATTACATAATATATTATATAGCTTAAAACACATACATATTTAAACTCTTTAGTGCCAATCACAGTGTGGTAACCGTCACTACGACACTAAGCATGAAGCTTCTTGTTTGATGCTTCATTTATGCGTGCTCATGAAGGCGCGCTCCGGAGTATCCTTTCTGTCTACTAATGGTGATGTAAATTTGTACTGACATTATGATGTAGAAGAGTTATTTGATTCTTTTTTTGTTTGTTTGAGTTCTCTAATCTCCGGAACTATGCCAGTCGGATTTGAAAATATTTTTTTGCATTTTTAAAAGCAATTCTTCAGGAAGATTATCTAACATCACGCTACGACCCTTATAAGCGGAGCAATATGATTCTAAAATTACCGATTTCACAAAGTTTTCTTGTTTTGTTAGGTCAGCAGTGAAGACGACGATCCCGCGAAGATAGATAGGGGCGTGCAAGTGAAAATAAAGTCTAGTAAAGAAGAAATACTTGAGAAGAAAACTAAGATTCTTAAGCAAAAAGTGGCGCGCCAAACTAAAAAAATTCAGGATATTTCTTCTTTAATTGCAACTATTAAAAAGTATACGGGTCAGTCAGAAATTGAAAATATTATTCAAGGGCGCTTTGCTGATATCTGTAAGGATTTCAAAAAGCCACAGAGTAATCCACATGGTGTTCGATATAGTGAAGAAGTGAAAGCTTTTGCTTTAACTTTGAATTTCTATTCACCTAAGGCTTACGAGTTTTTAAGAAAATATATATCTTTACCTCATGTAGAAACTATACGAAGATCTTTATCTTTATTTAACTGTAATGTTGGTTTCCTCTCTGAAGTACTGGAATATTTAAAAGAACAAGTTAAAACACCTGAAAAAAAAATATATTTAAAAAATGTTGCTTTAATATTTGATGGAATGGCATTAAAACAAAATTTGGCATATGATCAAAAATTAGACAAAGTGGTTGGGTATGTAGATTTAGAACCAATTCCTGTAAATTATCCAGAAAAATTAGCTTCCGAAGCCCTCGTATTTAAATTGTGTCTTACGATGTACGTTTTAATTGTCCAATTGCATATTTTTATTGCAAATAACTTGTCTGGGGAACTGCTTTCCGAATTAATAAAAACCACTATAATTCTGCTTGACGAAATTGGTGTCACCGTAAGATCTTTGACTTGTGATGGCGCATCATCCAATGTAAAGGCTTATGAATATTTAGGCTGCTCTCTCGAACAAATTAAGACCGTACTTTCGACATCCAAACGGGAAGAGCAATATATATTGTCTGCTTGACGCTGCACATATGTTAAAACTCGCTGGAAATGTTTTGGCCGATTTTGAAATAAAGTCAAATACCGGCTATATTTCGTTTAAATATATCCGAAAATTACACGAAATACAAAGCAAGGAGGGGTTAAAATTTGCTAATAAATTAAGCGCTTTACATGTAGATTTTAAAAACAAAAAAATTAATGTTAGGCTTGCTGCGCAAGTACTTAGTTCATCTATAGCTGATGCATTACATTTTTTGAGGATTAGTGGTCATCCTGTCTTTATAAACAGCGAAGCGACTAGACAGTTCTTGCACATGATAGATAGACTTTTTGATCTCATGAATTCAAAGTCACCATTTGGAAAGAGTTCAAAGTCTCCATTATCGTTAAAAAACAAACGTTATTGGGAACCAATATTTAATGATACTGGAATGTTTTTAAAATCGTTAACAATAAATGGTAAAGGTATTTTAAATCATCCCAGAAAAACGTTTTTATTAGGGTTTTAATGAACATAAATAGTTTATCGTTACTTGTTAATGATTTGTGTACACTAGAGCAAAATCCAATTAAATATTTGTTAACTTTTAAATGTTCCCAGGACAACTTGGAACTTTTTTTTCCTGCATTAGGGCTCGCGGTCGGGCACAAGATAACCAGAGCCCTCTCGAGTTCCGCTACATAATCAGAAAGATGTTGTTCAGACATTCCATTCAACCTTCCGTCAATGCCAACTGCAAAGAAAATGGTTTGAGACAACACACGTCTTCGATTTCAATAAACAGAAAAGTTTGTTTCATTCTCGCGAAGAACCTGAATATCAACAAGACGTTGAAAATATGTTTCAAAATTTAGAAAAGATTCATGTTAGTCCATACCAGGAAAATATATTATATTATATAACTGGTTACATTATAAAACAAATTCTTACCCGCATTTCTTGTGAACATTGTAATAATGCGTTAGTAGCACTTAACTATGTGTCAACAGATCATTCATATCATATGATTGTAAATAAATTTAATTCATTTACGACGTTTGTGAACCGAGGCAAACTTTATTTACCTTCGGCAGCAGCTTACAAAATTGTAAAATATTGTGACCAAGTTTTCCAACGAGCTAATTTGATGGGCCAACTTAGAGCCAATAACATTGAAAACAAATTAATTAATGTCGTGTCACAACATTTTACTCCTCTGTTGCAGGAAATATTTAACCACCCGATCACCGACTCAATTAATAGCTAATTCATTTTTTAATATGCGTATACGTGCTCACTTAAAGAGTCATACAGAAAATATACTTAGTGATTTACGTGGTAAGAGACAGAAACTACACAGAGCAATGATATTTAGTCATAATAGACACTTTTCAATAAATGATTTTAATATGGAAAATGTTTTTATTTATTTTTTTTGAGGTTTTTTATATACTACCGTTCCTACTATAGTACATATGTTACTAAATATCTATGAAATCCTTCATTATATAGAATTCCTAGGAATTGTAGAATTCTTAAATGAACAGGATGTGTGGAATATATTATTATACACATTTCAGCTCAGAGCAGCCTGACTCTGATGGGTAAGGTCAGAAGTCTAAGGCGCTCCGTGTTTTTATCTTCGTGTTAAATGATTGTCCAAAAATAGATTTATTCTGTCTGAAGAATAAATCAAATCAGGTATATTTTGCCCAATTCATGGAACACCCGGGGTGTTATAATAAATTTTAATTTTATATTTCGTTGGTACCGTTTAGGATTGGATACAATAACTAGAAAATACATTATCGAAATGGTAGTTATAAAATATTCTCTGATATATTTATTTTCCACATTTTCTAAATAGGCTCGGCATTATATGGGTTGTAACGGAAATGCGTGGTCATATTTTAAATACCGGTTCTGTCCATGGAAATGAAAACCTTTCTTCATAAAACCAGTCAATTCCCAAAAATTGTACAAAAATATATTATCTATATAGACTAGATCTTAGTAGTAAAAAGAGATGTAGATACTTAAAATAAACCACTTAATGTAATGCAACTACTTATAGCGATATCCTGGGAAAAATAAAATAAAGGTTACCCTACTTAGAAAGAGAGGGTCTGCCCACAGAGAGCGAGATAGTAATACATAGGTTAAGCTTCAAGTAGGTATTCGGAGTGTGGTCTCCATCCTTATCTATAACTTCATGACTCTGACGCTACTCATAAACTACTGACTGGAGAAAGACAATGGACACCACTAGGAAAACTGTGGGATTCATAGCCTAACTTTTTTTAATTGAGAAACTCCTTAGATAGGTACAATGTATGTACACAATTACTGGAAGCACTTATTTAACGCACTTAATCGCCCGGCTACACGCTCCGTCTTGCCCGTGAGTATGCCTGCACAAACCAGTTTTCACAGGTAAGCGCGTTCGTGTGGACGGCAAGACGGTAGCTCGCGCAGGCGACTTGCGTAATCAATGACGTGCTGAAGATTGGACTGCGCGGGATCAGTTTGCACGGTTTTGCCTGCGAGCTTACTTGAGCGTGTGAACGGTTATTTAAGCCGCGCTTCAGTCTGTCTAAATTGTTTTTGACGACACATGTCATGTTATAAAATCTTAAATTAAAAAAAATATTGTACGCAATTATTCTAGGGATTTTTTAACTGACTTCTTAGGATTGTACAAATCGTTGCCGGCGATGTGGAAAATTAAGAGTAAGGAATATTCCGACAGGAACAAAAAAATACGTGTGGCACTCGGTGACTGCCGCGGTAAAGTTATTGGCATTTTTATCAACTTATGCAATTATAATTATTTATTTATTTTATTTATGCAGTTAAGTCTTTGATATTAAATCAAGTTACACTTTTTGAGCGTGGTGACTGATAAGAAAACAATTTTTTTTCTCTTATTGAATAAATGAGAAGTTAATATTGTTTAAAATATTTTTAATATCTTACAATACATGTAGGTTATTCAGGAATTATTATCATTGAGTTAGCAGCTAGTGTACACGCATACGTCAGTCGCACGCACCCAAACACCGTGCCGAACTCTGCCGAGTGCCGAAGTCTGCCGAACTGAAACGACGTTAGACGATGCACGGCTTTCAACGCCACACCTCCGTGCCCGTCGGAGTGGGGAGCGTGAGGTTTTTTCGTTACGGAATTTCTGGATTCGGTCCCCGCGCTCAAGGCCAGCGATAGAAGCTATGCAATAGCTTAAAAAATGAAGCTTATCATTTATTAATTGAAAAACTAAAAGAGCTATGTAAATATAACCTAAGTACCTTTTTAATGATGTGTAATAAATATGTTGGATTAACAACTTGTTACGCTTGTAATATTGTTAACAGACTTCTAAAAAAAAGCAGGCTATCAATTCGATACCTATGTATGTAATATTGTAAGAATTGCACAATATTCGCAATATATATGCAATAAGGCTCCGTTTAAAAAAACCTCTTCTGGCTATATCATGACGTGACGAGCAGCTTTCAAAACACTTTGAGGTTTGCACAGTCCAAATTGCGCGAGCTTACCTGCACGAGCCATTGTACAGCCATGACTGCACATGCCTGGACTAAGCAGGCAAGACGGAGCGTGTAGCCGGGCTAAACACAGCGATCGTTTAGTACAGATGACTCGCTTGTGTATGCACTAATCCTCCACATCGCGTTCACTCCCACGCGATTGACTCGCTTTCGTGTAGAACTCTTTGCCAGTTAGTTAGAAAAAGCTACTGTCATGATATCATATCCATATGATTCTGCGCTTGGGCTCAGTAGACTTCGGACGTGTCGGTTGAGTTCACTCCCGTCACTCCGCTCTCTTTGCTCATGCGCTTGAATTATTTGATTATTACTAATCGCCTGGAATACACTGTATTGTACGCTGATCTGTCTTCGGTCACTCTATTGAAGCTTTCACTGTGGTGAGCGAAGGACACTGTCCCGAGTGACAGCGGTCTAACTGTGAAGTGTAGTGGACGCTTGTTGTGGTGCAAAGTGCGTTATGTGCGTAACTCTCCTTTCTGGCTTCCTGGTAACCGTAAGTAGAGTGAAACACACTCGCCATCGTTTTTAATTTTTGTGTCGCTTGTTGCATTAGGCAACAGATAGGCACACTCTAGCGAAGTAGGCACACACCTCGCCCAAGAGGTGAGGGAGCTTGGTACATATCTGTGTTTGTGTTAGCACAGTAACCAGGATGGCGTCCATAACGATCGACAAACTTGCCGACTTTTCAGTCGAACCTGCCCAGATATTTGGTCTGGTTTCGCACAAGTACAAGTTATTCCAACAGGACCGAGAAAATGTTAACGATGAACCTCGCTCCTGACGCACCAGTACGTCAAAAACCGACAATAATGTTCAAAAAGTGAAAGGAATTGTGTTGAAAACTCGTCGAATCACGATTAGAGAAGTATTTGATGATCTTAATGATGAGATGTTTTGGGCATGGCACGTGTATCAGCGAAAGTCGTTCCAAAATCGCTTAATTTAGATCAGAAGCCGCATCGCATGAACATTGACCAAGACAAGTTGAACGACGTCAATGATGATCCTAATCTGCTCAAAAGAGTTATAACGTTGAAACCAAAGCCGAATCATTCCTTAACCTAATGGAAGAACCCAGGAGAACCATGACCGAAAAAGGCACGCCAAGTTCGTACGAATGTAAAGGTTTGCTTACAGTTTTCTTTGATTACTATGTTATTGTGCATCAAGAATTCACCACAAGGTACGGTAAACAAGGAATATTACCTTGAACTTAAGCGGCGTTTGCGTGAATCAATAACAAAAAAACAGCCGGAGGTGTGGAAAGAAAATTCATGGATTTGATACGTCGAAAAAGGAACTCTCGTAATGCTCGCATGTGCTATAAATGCAGCTGGAAATTCTATCCCCCTAATGTTTGTATTTCCCAGAATGAGATACAAGGATCTCTTTCTTCGTACTGGACCATCAGATGCGATTGGAGCGGGCAATGCTTCAGGGTGGATGACTGAAAAGAATTTTTTA